TTAGTTTTCCTTTTTGAACTTACGCCAACTGGCAATTGTTGTAGACTACTGCTGGAATCGAGCCTGAAGATGTGGCTAAGCGTCTCATGGATTACGGATTTCATGGTCCGACCATGTCGTGGCCAGTCCCCGGAACACTCATGATTGAACCAACTGAAAGCGAAAGCAAGGTAAAATAAAGGCAATACATAATAAATATACAAAAATAAAAGAAAGAATTCACTGTTATTATTACTTACTAAGACGGGTTTTTACAATATATTTGAACCTAAATTGCATTGTTTCATTTACTATACAGGCAGAGTTAGACAGGTTTTGTGATGCTTTCATCTCTATCAGAGAGGAAATTGCATTGATTGAGAAAGGACAAGCTGATGTGCACAACAATGTTCTCAAGGTATATAAAAAATCATACAATATGCATTTCACTTCAATCTTTTATTTTTTCTTTTTCTTCATATTCCTCCAAACATGACGACAATTTTTATTATTTCCTACTCCCGATCGACATGTTTTCCTTTCGAAAAAAGCTAAATTACACGGTACTGTAATTTCAGGGAGCCCCTCATCCACCATCACTGCTTATGGCTGATGCCTGGACAAAACCGTATTCACGGGAGTATGCTGCTTACCCTGCACCATGGCTCAAGACCGCCAAATTCTGGCCCACCACAGGTTCGTAATTCGTATAATATACATACCCACATACGTATATTATATATAGGCTATATTTGGTAAACCTAGCTGATAAGCTAGCTTATAGCTTATGATAAAAGTGTTTAGTAAAAGCTTAAATAAAAATTTCAATGAGTTTATTTGAAAAGCTACTCAGGGAAACTTTATGAGATTCGCTGAGTTTTTTAAAAAAGTTCATCCTACCAAATCAAACATACAGAAAACTTATAAACTACTCAAATAAACTATAAGCTAGTTTATATGTTTACCAAACACAACTATAGTCTCGTTTGATTTACATTCACACACTTAAGGGGTGATTGGATATAAATTGAATAGTAAAAAAACTAATCAAAACTCAAATTTAACTCAACTTTAACTCAACCTCACTATCTTCAATATTATCAATATAATTAAATAATATCAACCAATCATTCTTACACATCAAATCAACTTCAATTCACTATTCATCCACTCATATAATTTTAACTAATTATCACTTCCAATCATTTTTCTCCTACTTTTCATCAAATCAACTTTAATTATTTTATTTAAATATTATTTTAATATATCCATTAACAACTAACCAAACCACATTTTTTCAAAATTTAACTATAGTTAAAAAATAAACCAAATAAAAATTCCTTGAGTCCATAAACAATCATCCCCTTAATATTTAGGAATAATTATTTAAAAACCACTTTTTTGTTAATGTCTAATTTCGGTATTTTGGTACTCGTAGGCCGTGTGGATAATGTTTACGGTGATCGTAACCTCATTTGCACGCTCCTCCCGGTGGCTCAGATGGCGGAAGAGGCGGCTGCCGCCACTGCCTGAGGCTCTTGAAAGGTTTTTCCTCACATATGTGAGGATAAATAATTAAATATTAAATACCACTTATTTTTTATACATAAAAGGACAATAAAGTCTTTTATGTTTTCCATGTACTTTAAGTTTTTATTGTTTCAGAATTTGTCTATGTTCTCCTGTATTGTTGCTGATTAATGTTGTATATATAGCTTTTCTTTTTCTTCGCATATTTTTTATGTTTGGTCGAATTACAGATGGAATGGTAACTCAATTTAACTGCATTTAGTGGAATAGAAATAAAAATATGCCAACCAACCTGACACAATTTAAATTGACAGATGTGATATTGAATTTGATTTCAGAATTCCGTAAGTCTATAATTATTAAACCTTTGCTAGTAGCTTCTCAACGATCAATTTTTTCAATTAAGTGGTTGGTAGTATGTCCTTGTAGAATTATATGGTAGCTTGATCGATAAAATATAATTTATTTTATGAAAGCAATTTTACTTTACAGCTATAAAATTATATATATTTTATGAAAGCAATTTTATTTTACAGCTATAAAATTGGTTCGTGTGAAATTTATTACAAGGCCATATGTTATTTACAAATTGTATGTGAACAATGAGTTGATTCATTACACATAATTTTAACAAAAATACACTAAATATTATATATTTAATTTATATCATTATCTAAATATAATCAAATTATAACACTGCTTGGAAAAAAGATATATTAGCCAGCATCACTAGCGATCCGCCATGCAACGTAGAGGAGGCTTGCACTATCTTAAAAATAAAGCTTAACTAATATCTTTTTAATTTTTATATCTTTTTATTTACCTTTGATCACTCTATTTATTCATAGAGTGGTTAAATGAAACGAGCCGCTCGTGAGTTGACTTGACTCGTTTCATAAGTGAGTCGAGCTCGAGGCTGTTTAAAACTCAATTCTTTATCGCAGCAAACTCGACCCGGCTCGTTAAAGCTTGAAATGAGGAATTTTTATATAGTTTCTATAGTTTGGTTCGTTCATGCTCGAGTTCGACACATTAAGACGGGAGATGGACTCGTTATATTGATAAATGAGTTGAACTCGATTACTGGTTTGTTTAAGTAATGAGTCGAGCCTAGCTCCACTCGTTAAAGGATCGAGCTTGAACTCGAGTACCATGAACTCGAACTTGATTACCATAAGTTACACATATATTCGCACACGGAGTTAGGGAAATAGAACTTTTTTGTTTAAAAAATGTAATTATTGGATTATATATAATAGATAGATAGATTTACACTTAACATCTTGTTGATGCTTGAACTCATCGTTCAGTCCCCTCAGGACACGTCTTCGTAGTCAACTGCGGGTTAATCGACAGGATGCAAGATCTATTCGAAAAACGCCGAGTAGTGGTTAATCAACATAAATTGCCTTCGCCACCGTTAGGATGTCGTTCTTTGGCCGACTTGCTACTACTTGTAGGGAAATTAATTATTGACAAGACATTTAACCACCAAGTTGTTGGGTACACGCGTCATAAACGTAGACTGCTGATAAATACAGAGATTCGAGCTGTAATCATTGGGCATTAGATGCGATTGTACTTTCCAAAAATAGAAAAAAGTGTTGTACTGCACACATTTGTACTACCCACACACACAATACTCACTTATAATGCCATATAAATAGGTTGAGAATTTACTGTAAAGAGAGATATTATTTTACAGAGTAAATAACAAAGAAAAAAAGTCGAAATACGATTCTATTCGGCTGCTGATCAACCAAGAACAAATTTCCTCTCCTTTTCTCAAAATATATTTTTCTTCGTTACAACATATAACAAAACATCTTTCTGCCGATAGTAGTGGCATCCATTCCCTCTGCCCATGTTTTTGTTCGGAGAAAATGTTTAAGAAATTAACTAAAACCTTAAAAGTTTAACATTTTACAATTAAAAATCACAAAATCTTGTGATTTCAGTATTCGTTGGGGAGTTTTGAGTGACATTTTAAGACTTTTTAAGATTTGAAATTTTTTAAGATGTTCAAATTTTGGAGGAACCCTATGAAATCTTAAGTATAGAGTTGGAATTTTTGAGTGAGATTTTGTATAAGTTATTTGCTCTATAAATCCAACCAAATCTTAAAAGTCAAATCAATACTAGTCTTAAATAAGTTAAATATCTCATATTTTGTAAGACTTTTAAAATTTCAAATGAATACCAAGACCTTTAAAAATCTTAAAGTCTTAATACATCTAAATTAAATACACAAAAATTTATAAAGTTTAAAAAAGTCATTAGAAATCTAAATGAAACACCCCCTTAATATACTTATTAATTAATTAATATATATAAATATTAAAAAATGGCATCAAAAATATTTCAATTGTGTATTAATTACTCTGTATTTGTAGGCGTACATGGAGGGAAAAGCAAGCAGTGAAGAACATGTTTGTTTATAAAAATTTTTGGTTTGTTTGTTTGGTTTGGTTAATTTTGAAAAAGGTGGTATAGTTAGTTGTTAGTGGATATATTAAAATAATATTTATAATTAAATAATTAAATTGATTTGATGTAAAAGTAGGAGAGAGAGATTTGAAGTGATGGTTAGTTAAAACTAGTACAAAGCCCGTGCGATGCACGGGGTGCACAATTTTAAGGCTATTTATCCAGACTTATAATTGTATACATGAATACAGAAAAATGTACGGGATATATATAGTACGTGACCCGTGCGAGGCACGTGATATATTTATTTGAGGAATACTATATTATAAGATGCAATATTCAATAGAAGTTTTATAATACGCAGGAAAATTATACAATAAGATAGTATTCGACAAACAAACAATCATATATTATTAAAGACCACCTTGTACACAACATTATGAGTTTGATTTTCCATACAATCATAATAAGATTTTTTGTAAAAAGATAAGAAGAAATTTTCAATCTACACAAACTTTAAACATTAGATGTATTTACGTAAATCAATGACTATATAGACAACTAAACCCTTCAATTTAGGTTTGACATCTACTTTATTATGGGTGACGTAAAATAAGGATTTAATTTTGACCGATTAAATCTTTATTCATAGGCTTGACATATAAAATTGATTTGATGGGATTTTCTTAACTAAACCGATGCTATGGGATAAAACAAATCTATACTTACCTTTGACTTTTCCAGCAAAGGTAAAAAAATCGGTTCTGATTTTTATCCCGTAACAAATATTTAATGTCAAGCCTATAAATATCAAAACAAATCTGTAATTAATATCATTCTATTTCCAGCAAGCATTAATTACTTTTGACTTTTCTGCCTACTATTTCTAGTAAATAGGATGACTTTTATGAGTATAGATTTCATATAATGCAAAGACTGAGATCATAAAAAATAATCCTAAAAACTGAAACAATATATTTGCATAATTTAAGGCCATTAAGAAATCGATCTCTAAACCAGATTTGATTTTCAGAATATGTTTTTTCATTTCGAATTCCATACAAAATGGAATTCTTTCCAACTAATAGATGTCATAGCAAATATTAACTCTTAACTATTAGACTATTAGTACATACCGAGCAAATTGTATACTGATTTTAGAAAGTTAAAATGATTCATGTTAGGTAATTTTACATTTTATGGATGTTGAACTGTGGGTTTTAAATATTGTTTCATAGAATGTAAAGTGTATTATATTATTTTTATGAGATGTTGAATTTGAAAATTAATATAGTTCTTCTTCATAGGAATTTTAAATGTAACAATATTCTTTGGTATACACTACTAATAAAATCTATATTTAAAGTTTATATTTTTTTTTACCGAAAAAAATTCCTTAATTTCAAGAATCATATATCTTCAATCAGTCCACATCTATATACATTCTTCACAATTTTAAATCTTGAATTTGATGAGAATTCGTATCTATGAGTGCAAAATATGGTTTAACAAATTAATTTTTTAATATTATTCCAGCCATACTTTTTTATACGATTTTTTGTGAAAATACAAAAGTAAATTCTTAATTTTAAATCAGCCGTACATTAAAGAGTACAAATTTGTTGAAATTACAAAAGTAGTTTTTTACTTTTAAACAGACGTAAATTTAAATCAGTCATAAAAAAATAATATTTGTTTACCATTTAAATATTAAATCAGCTAATTAATGTTGTTTGTTTTAGGTGCCACGATTTTCTCCAAACTAAATTAACAACTGTCATGATTTAAGGGCAACATTTAATGCTGCTCTATTTTTAGGAGACATTAAATGTATTTGGCGGGAAAAACTTGCTAAAAGTGTTAAATGGTTAATCTTTTAATATAATGATAGATAATGTGAGTGGATGAATAGTAAATAATATGAATGATTAATTGATATTATTTAATTATAGTGATAATTTTGATGATAGTAGGGTTGAGTTAAAGTTCAGTTAAAAAAAGTGATTGATTTAAAATGTGAGAATTTTTTTTAAAAATTTCATAAACAAACAAACATGCTCTAATTTATTCACCCACTCGCTGTGTGTGCGTGTGTGTGTGTGAGCTTGACAACGAAGACTCTCACAGTGCGCAGGTTAAAAACCGCATTTTCCACCCACCACTGCCCATCTCAAAAATCCCCCAAAATTTATCCCAAAAAAACCCTAGCTCAAGCTACAGTCGATCCGATTAAGACGAAGAGCTGTTAATCATCTTGTTTTGCTGAATTTTTCTGTACAGTCCTGTGTGGATTATCAGAAATTTTTTCCCTTCGGCGATCGATGAGAGGCGCCGAAAATGTCCAAGGTGAAACACTTTCTACGCAAGCTTCACATCGGCGATCACCACCACCACGGGAGGCCGCCGTCCGCGCTCGATCCTTCCCCTGGGACGGGGTCGCCGCCGCCGCAGCCGATGGCCGCCGCCTCTTCTCCGTCGACGACCGATTTGCCGCAAGCAGTGGTGTCGACGGAGAGCGGGGACTCGAGCGGGAGTAATTTCATTTACTTCGAGGAGGAGTTCCAAATGCAGCTGGCGCTGGCGATTAGCGTGTCGGATCCGGGTCAGACCCTTGTTGATCCGGAGACCGCTCAAATCAACGTCGCCAAGCAGATTAGCCTCGGCTGCTCGCCTTCTCAGAGCCTCTCCGAGTTTATGTCGCTCCGATACTGGGTAAATTTTTGTTTCTCTTTGTTTCCCGTTGATTTCTAGGTCTGATTTTATTGTACCTGATGAATCAGACAGTTCAATTATTGGTGATTGTGATTTCATTTGCTGAAACTAGAGATACCGAAGCAGGTGAATGTTTCTAATGGATTAAACGTTGCTCAAAATAGTTTTGTTGATTTATTCTGTTGTTGGTCTGTATCGTTTAGATTGCCATCAATGGCATCATTTCAGTTGAAAAATCTGAATATTCAACCAATAGGATCAGAAAATTTGCATTAATGATCAGAAGAATTGTATTAATGGTCTATAATGCTGGTGATTAGTTTCTAACTTTCCTCCACGTTAAGTGATTGGTGCTCAATTAGCTATTTGATAGACATAATGCCATCTTGAATTTGCTTTAGTAGAATCTTCTCATCATGTAAACAATGAAGAGGGTAAGTTCTTCTTTCGCTTTGCTTCTTTATTTTTAAATCCACGTGTCAGTATCGACGACTGGATGTCCCGATTCATAGATGCATGCACATTTTTTCCGTGTAGCGGTTGGTGGGAAATTTCATGTGACTAAACAAGTACACGTGTCGTCGTTAAGAATCTATGCATTCATGCATAATTGCCCGGTTAAATATGCAGATTCATTTTATCTATAAATAACATAATTTATTAGCGAGTACAACATTCCTGCATATAAGGTTTGAATGTGAATTTATAGTTATATCTATGCATAGGATTGTAGATAACATATACAATTACCTGTTATGGTAGAGCCTTAGTCATCAATGCCCAGCACCTAACTGCTTAGGTGATGGCTTGTGTAATCCTCACAAGGCAATAATGACTAGAAAATATTTATAATGGAATTGTCTTTAAAATCAAAGACAAAAATGTAAATCATGTAAGACTATAATAAACAATCAAACACTGATATCATTCACCAAACAATGAAAAAGGCACTGTTCAAATAGTGTTAAAAGTGGTTGTTAAGTTGAATGTTCTCATTACGAAAAGAAGAGTAATTCTTACTTAACCATTAAACTTGACTTCTGGAAGACATTTGGAGGACAGCTATATTTGAGCAACCCATTCATCCGATGCATAAGTTGCATTAAGTTTTCAGTTATTAGATGTACCACTGCTTGCTCCGTATGCAGTCCCCTGCCTCCTTTTCCTCGAAATGGTCATTAAGAAGATAAGAATAGCAGGTGCTTTGTGCATTATACATAATATATACTGAAATGATTGATAAAATTTTGTTGTCTTCTTTTGTGATGCAGAGCTGTAATGTTATAAATTATGATGAGAAAGTAATAGACGGGTTCTATGATGTTTGTGGAGATTCAAATTTGGTGGTCCAAACAAAAATGCCATCACTAGCTGAACTGGAAAGAACTTGTGCATTGGATCATATTGGTCGTGAGGTTGTTTTAGTGAATCGTGCAGTTGACGTGGAACTACGGAAACTTGAGGAAAAAGTGCATTTTATGACCATGGAATGCCATGCTTTGGACAGGAACTTGAATACTAATCTTCTAGTTCAAAAAATTGCCAGGCTTATTGTTGAAAGAATGGGAGGCCCTGTTACTGATGTTGAAGACATGTTCAGAAGGTGGAGGGCAAGGAATCATGATCTAAGAATCTATTTGAGTACAATCATTCTTCCCATCGGCTCTCTTGATATTGGGCATTCGCGTCAAAGGGCCTTACTGTTTAAGGTATTAGGGGATGCTCCTGCTCCTATTAGCTTGTTCTCTTACTCATGTTCATGAAATATTTGCTCTTCTACCTTAGTAATATTGACTTGTAATTTGTAACGATTGTTCATAGCTTACCTTCTCTGGTATATGCATGTTTTAACCTTCACTTGGATTGGGACCAAATGAACCTTGATGGCTACATTAGTATCTATGTAAATTCCGGTCATATTTGTGATGCATTAGGTTCAGACTTGAAAACATCCTCGTTTCACTGATAAGCTAATGTTCTTCATGACATTATGACCCAAATGTTGGCTTTTAGGTACTTGCTGACAGGATCAACCTTCCGTGTAAGCTAGTGAAAGGAAGTTATTATACTGGCACTGATGAAGGGGCTGTGAACTTGATAAAATTGGATGATGGAAGGTACTGTCACTGCAGTTATACAACTTCTCATTTTGTGTATTTGCCTTTTTACAATCAGCTTTATTCATCAACTTTTGGAGTTCATCTTGTGGGTGAGACCTTAGTCGTATCGGCTTCATCTGGCGCTTCGGCAATTTCCAATGTCCGAGTTTTGTTTCTTTGGTGCAAATCATTCCACCACTGGGAAGTTCTAATGTAAAACTTGATTGATCAGGATATTTGCTTATATTTATCGTGTTTAGTTGAAAAATGTGAAAGCATAGAAAAGTGGGATTTTGGGGAAATCCTCAACTTATGTATTTTTTTTTTTAAGAACTGCTTCTTGTTCCCCATGTGTGCTATCGACTCATATAATCCCTATGAAACTTCAATGGTTAAAAGAAAAAAATCTTGCTGCTCTTTCATGTTTTAGCAAAGAAAAGATCTCTATCTGATAGAACCGTTTGTATTTGCTAATGGTCATTTGAGAGGAATGTGGTGATGTAGCTTATCCTCTCCCTTCTTCCTTGCATCAGTTTCATACAGTTAGCGTTGTCTCGGCTAGCTGATCTGTTCTGCATTTATCATTTCTCATTTGTTGTAGAGTATGGTGTTTATGTCAAAATACTTATTTTTGAGTTATCTCTCATCTCTCAAATTAATTTTTTGTTTAATCCAGTGAATACATAGTTGATCTGATGGGAGCTCCAGGCACACTAATTCCGACTGAGCCACCAAGCAGTCTTCCACTGAATTTTGGGTTAGGTGCAAGAAATATTGCTACTTTTGCCGGTAATGACTGCAAATTGGGTACCACAGCATCTAACGGAAAGGGTGATATTAATTTCGTTACACCCTGTGTGGATAGAACTCCGAAATCTGTTTGTTCAAGTTCAGAATCCTCTGCCATTGCCATGGAATCAATTATAAAAGGCAGGAAAATATCTCAGAAATTGCAGACCAAGCAGTTGGAGCATGGTCCTCGAGATCTTTATATTCCACCAAGAGTGTGTGAAGAGTCATTGCATGCCGGAAACAATAAATTAAGTGGATTAGTCTCAGGTCCTGATGATCCTTCTTGTTTTGCTTCTAATGCTGCCAGAAAAGCAGAATTCTATGGAGAAATTCCTACCATATATACTGAGGAAAGGGCACCGAAACCCAAAAAATTGTTTTTGGACATGAATACCAATGATTTTAGGGAAGGCAAAGTGCCGGAAAGAAATGAACTAATGTGGAGAGGCAGCGTGGTTGACGAGTGCCATGCAGAGATTAACTTGACTACAAATGAGCACTCTCTTGTACCTTACACTGGGTGGCAGTTATTTAACCTGTCCTGCAACAGTAGTGGAGAGCAGACAGCTGCAGGATTGGGAGCACAGCTGTTTAAACAGGAGTCGGAAGGAAATAACATGGATCTTAATATTCCAGGGGAACAAAATATGCTTGTGAGTGACAGAAATAATGGGATGCTTACAGATAATGATACTGCTAATGGTAGAGGACTAGTTGATTTTTCTGGAAGTACAGAAGTTATGTTAGTATCTGGCACTGACCAGTCTAATGCTAACATGATCCACGACATGCAAATTGATCCTGTGCTGAATGGAGTTGCAGAGATATTATGGGAAGATCTTCAGATTGGTGAACGCATTGGTATAGGTAAGAGTTCTGCAATAGATTTGTCATTACTTATCTGGTTTCTCTCTCGGTGTGTGTGTGTGTG